ATGTAAAATCTTTTGAAAATAATTTACAATAAATAAAATTTTCCTTTGGATTTGAGAAGTTCTATGATTACTTATTTCCATTAATTATCACAATGCTGAAATAACAAGAGACAATAACCTGATATGCTGTGTTAAAAGGCATGGGTACGAAAAGTTTAAAATGAAATAGGTAAGAAGTAAGAAGCAAAATGACCTTGAGTTTTGTACTCCAGACTGAGCTGTTGTTCAGTTAAAAATAAAAGCCAGACTATAAACACATTATTATATTAGATGTGCTCCTGCTGTTATTGTTACTAACAATATCCTTAATGTGCTTGTTTCGAGATCAGATAACATCTTTGATAAGGTGAGGGTCTTTTACAGCCGGAAGGACATAATCAGTCGTACCTACGGCCAGCAGACCTTTGAACATGTTTAATTGGAAATGCAGACATTCTGGCTCCCTTGGGCCATTCAGTGTGGTGTGAGCCAAGTTAAGACAAAGGTCATCTAGAGAGAATATACCCAACCACAATAAAATCCATCAGGCATGAAATGGTTTCCATATTTGTTCCTTCACTTTTTGAAGAGGTGAACTGACTGGGTATTCCTGTATTTTGGTATTTTTCTATCCTGCTTTTGCACTGCTGTGGCCAGTGGCAGAACCAAAACAAACACAGCACCTGTATCATCTGACATGTACTTCAGATAATTGAGACTGCAACGACCTGAACTGCTTATGTGAGTAAAAAAATAAAAAAACAACAGAGACCCATTTGTGGGCTGCCTGCCACAACTGAGCAATGACTCTGTCTTGGGACAGTTTGTCCTTGGAATGAACAGCCCTGCATTTACATTTTTATCTCTGCAGGTTGTCTGTGTGATGGTCATTGATCTGTGCATTTGTGTATAATTTTCCCAGCACTGCATTTAGAAGACAAAAGCCTACAAATGCAAAAACTGAATTTGGCATATATTCACTGGAGTGTAGGTATTGGCTCCAATATTTCTCTTTTTTTACTTTATACTTAATGGAATTAGATTTAAAATGTTCTGTAAAAAAGATTTCATGAAAATGTACCCTTCACATTGGACTTACAATGTCTTGCAAACTTCAAAACCACTTGAACCTTTTTCTATTTTGTTACATTATAATCTCCAACTTTAAAGCATTTTATTTGGATTTTATGGGTCAGACAAACAAAAAGTAGTGATACAAATTATGTTTTTTTGACAAATAAAAAATTGAAAAAAGTGACATGAATGTTTATTCATTGTGATGTGCAGTGTTCGTTTTCCATTAAGTTTTAATAGGAGGCAAAAGGGTATTTTTTTGGTCTCATCTGATCAGATCATCCTTTTCTCTATGCTTGCAGTTTGCCCTACGAAGCCTTGTGGTTATTGCTTAATACCATTCTTATGGCTGTATTTCAACAACAGCTTTCTTCAAGCCACTCTTCCACAAAGGCCAGATTTGCAGTGTGCATGACTAGTTGCGGTCTTGTCAACAGATTCTCCTACCTGAGATGTGTATCTTTGTGGCTCCTCCGGAGTTACCGCGTGTATCTTGGCTGCTTGTCTGATTAATGCTCCTCTGCCAAGCCTGTCAGTTTAGGAAGAGAGTCCTGTCTTGGTCGGTTCACTGTTGTTGCCATACTCTTCTCATTTTCAGATGATATTTGAAAAGTGCTCTGTGAGATCTTCAAAGCTTGGGGTATTGTTTTCATAACCCTGTCAAATGTCTCAATACATTTATCCCTGACATGTCCGCAGTGTTCCTTGGTCTTTATGATGCCATTTGTTCACTCCAACAAACTTCTAAGGCCTTCACAGAGCGGCTGTATTTATGCTGGGGTTAAATTAGGGAGGTATGTTGCTTCCAGTGAATTTCATGTAAAGGTTTTAGAGTAAAGGAGGCTGAATACAAATGGTTTAAAAACCTTTTTGTTTCACTTCCCAGTCATAATCTACTTTGTGTCGGTCTATCACAGAGAGCACACTAAGGTTTGTGGCTGTAATTAAACAAAATGTAAAAACATTTAAGGAGTATAGATGCTTTTATAAGGCACTTTGCATGTCAGCTGAAAACACATTATACTCCATGCAGTCAAAGAAGTATTATGGTGAATCCTTCTTGAACTGCTTTTAGAGGAATAGAAGTCAATAATTAAAATAAGGAAAACATTTTCCTGTTTAATTTCACATTATTTCTAAGATAAGCTGCATGATTCCTGAAGACACGCCATGCTATCTTTCAACAGAAAAAAAAAAAACGAGTCCAAGCTTAATCCAAGCGTTTAAAATCTACTTGGTACCACAAAGGAGACATATTTCACAGGAAGCTTTAAAGTTCCTCTTGGCACCTAGAGCTGTTAGAGATAATTTGCTGCGGCTTCAGCACAGCAGTTACAGCAATATCTTTACTTTGGTAGAAACAATAATATGCCCGCAGGTCTCCTCTGGAATAAGATGCTGTTCCAACACACGTGAAAACAATATTTTTATTATTTATTATGACCAACAGAGGGCAACAGAGATCTGTGGATTCCTTTAATCGTCCCTCCTTCAGTAAAAGCTGAACTTCACCTCCCTCTCCTGTCATGCAGGAAAACTGACAGTAGGGTGTTCCCAGCATCTCTGTGAAGCTTTGATAAACTGCCATTACTGAGAAATGAAAGTTTGTGTTGCTGCCACTGCATATGAAGGAGATTGTGTTGCCCTGTTGTGTTCTAAACGTTGTTTTTGCGCTGCTCAGGGGCAAAAGCATTTTCTCTCCACTGGATCAAAATGTATTCCATGTAACTCTTTGCTAATGCCAGTGTATCTAATTGGAAGAACGATGTTCAAGGAAATTGCACTTAGCCAAGCAGACTGTCTGCCATTCAATACTTCAAATCCAAAGAGCCGCTCTAATCACAAAGTCTCCTAAAAAGTGACAAGGTCCCCACAAGTTTGAGCACCCACCTGTGTAAACTTCACAATTTAATTAGCTCATTTTAACAGATCAGTTTAAAACACATGTCATTTTAGGTGTTTAAAATTCTAGTTGTACTTACAGTATATGACAACAGTCAAACTGACATATTTTTTCTCCTATAGGTGGCACAAAACCAAAACTGCTTTTTATGTCAGTGCAGACTGATCTGCTCTTTACAGATATTTGGCCATGAAATGGATCCAGCAGCTATTGAATTGAATTTCTGCCTCTATAGTGTTACATAGTCAGGTCACAAAGCTAAATCTAATTCATGCAATAGCAATACATCTACCAAAGATTGAATAAAAAATAGGGTTATTTTCTAAGGTCCTTTTTATAATTTCCAAAAACACATCTAAGCTCTGGGGTGGAAGGTTTTCTTTCATATGTCATTCTTTTTTTATTTTTAGCTTAAGCGTTCTGTCAGAAGTGGCTCTTGGAGTGAACCCCAGAATGCACACAGAGAGGCAGAGAATTCACACATGCAAGTGGTAGCAGAGGTTGGCATGAACATGGGCAGGGTTTGCGTGGAAACAGGCATGGACAGGAACAATATAAGTAACAGGCGAGGACAAGGACAGGCTTGGCATGACAACAGTATGTATTCGTGAGGAGTAACCAGCAGTGTACATAAACAGCAGTGTATATAGCGGGCATGACACAGGTGAAGGCAGAAACTGATTGGCATGAATAGGTGGACCGGATGAAGCTAAATTACTGACTGAGCCATGGAGTGGAAAAAATAACATGGATGAGCTAAATCCAAAAACATAATCTAATTAAGATAAGATAAGATAAGATAAGATTTTATTCATCCCCTATGGGGGAAATTGAATTGTCACAGCAGCAAGAGTAAAATATGCACATCTAGTAAGATAATTTAAAGAAAAGTATTAATAAAAGCAAAATAGTGCAAATGATGCAAAAATAAATGCTATATCTAAAAAAGGTACAAAAAAGATATACACTATATAAATAGAAAGAAGAGATATAAATGAGGTGAAACATATAGGTATAGGCAGTATTGTAGGTTTTTATTGTAGAATCCTATTGCTGATGGGAGGAAGGACCGTCTGAAGTGTTGCTTCCTGCACTGTGACAGCCGCAGCTTGCTGCTTAAGGGGCTGCCCAGAGGGAGGGAGAGGCGTTGTTAATGATGGATGCCAGCTTAGCCAACATCCTCCTTTCCCCCACCTCCACTGTAGAGTCCAGGGGACAGGCAGCAACTGAACATTCCCTCCTGACCCGGTTGTCCAGTCTACTCCTGTCCCGCTCTGTGCGGCCACCCACCCAGCAACATGAAGATTTCTACTGTGTTAAAGAGTCAAGGTAATAAGATTGGCTAATCAAGCCAGAATTCCAACATCTTAATGCAAAATCTAAGGAGGACGTGGAGGTTTGAAGAGTCAATTCTTCCATTTTGTTCTGTGATATATAAACAGAAGGACTAGCTGCCCTAAAATAGACATTGCCAAGCTTAGAGAATATGCTCTCTTTAGTTGTACTACGTTTAGTATCAGAACTAATGTCTATGAGCAAAAAACTGCACAGATGAAAGAAATACCTTAGCGGATTCTCAGTGGGCTGTTTCAGAGCAGGGTTTATGTTCCAATGTTCCTGTCAGATAAAAGTGTTTTATCCTCATATTGTCCATAGTCCCTCTTTTTCGTACTTTGATCTAAAGACATGAACAGTACAATGCTTTGCAAAAGTTTTTCAGACCTTTTCACATTTAGTCACATTACACCTGTAAACTTTTATGTATTGTATTGGAATTTTACACGGTAGACCAATGCAAAGTGGTGCATAATTGTGAAGTGGAAGGAAAATGATACATGGTAAAGATCTGGAAAGTCCAGCTAATATTTATATTCAATCCCTGCTTGTAGAGTTTTTCACTACACTTAGAGCTGCAAGTTGTTGGTGGCATGTCTCTACCAATTTTGCACATCTAAGAACTGAAAACTTTTTTTTGCACTAGAGACCTTTATTTTTCAATGGTGGGCACACAGGAAAGAGGGGCAGAGAGAGAGGGGGAGATGTTTGGCAAAGGTCAGGACTTGAACCTGGGACAGCTGCATCAAGGACTATAGCCTCTATAAATAGTCGCGCGCTTAACCCCTACGCCACCAGCACCACACCCTACAGTTGGTCTGATCTTTGACTGGGCCATTTTAACTTCTTCTGCCTCAATCTTTAGTCTTTTTTAGGATTTCCTCCTGGACTGTTCAATATTTACCTCCATTCATTCTTCACATATAATATATGACTAGCTTTCTTGACTCTGGGTAAGAAAAGCATCCTCAAAGCATGATGCTATTACAGTGTTTCAGTATATGCATGGTGTGCTCAGGGAAATGTGCAGTGTGAGTGTCGCTTTACACATAAAGTTCTGCATGCAGGTCAAACTCAGTTTTGATCAGGTCATATGGCTTTCTTTAAACAACATGCGTCTTCTACTCTGAAGTAAAAGCTAGATTCATGGAGTGCACAAATAATGGTTGCAGATTCTCTTACCTGCTGTTTCTCTGATTAGTGCTCTTCACTCAGTTTAAGTGGACAGCCATGTCTTGGTAGGTTTGCAGCTGTACCATAACTCAGAGTGTGAAAGCTTCAAAAGGTCTGAAAATTTTATAAAGGATAAAGACCCATTTTTTTCAGCCTAACAAAGGCCCCATTATTAAAAAAAATCCATAGATGCCGAATGTTTGGAAGTTTAATATACAGATAAACCCTGTTCTGGTGCACCAACTGGAAAGATTGACATGCAAAAAGAATCAGAAGAAGAAAGGATGGTTAGAAAGAAGCAGCTAAAATATGTGTACTGTATTTAAAATGCAATTGATTTTAAAGGAAGCACCGAGACAGAAAGAGAGCCTGAAAGTTTTATTATTTACATCATTCTATTTGGTGCGCAGCGAGATGTTTCATTATGAGGAAAAACAAATATTTTTGCTGAGTATTGTTTGGGGGTATTTACAGATTTATTTTTTTAAGAGTGTGAGTTAGTTAACTTAATTTTGACACATATTTTGCACATAAGATGGACAAGCATGGAAGAAAATAAATAGTCCATAACTGAAGGGATGTAAATAGAAAACTAATGATCTTGTTCATGTACAAGTGACCTCAAAACCAACTAAGACATGCAGCAGCAACCTCCATACATCAGAGAGATCTTCAGAAGTATGTTGTTGGGAGGAAAAACAGGTCCATGGAAAATACAGGAAAAAAAACATCAAGACATCAGATGAATGCAGAAATCTATCAGCAGCTCATTAATCAGAATCAGCTTTATTTTGCCAACATTGTGTGCACAAACAAGGACCTTGACTGTAGTTTGACGCGCTCACAGCATACAGACATAAAGTATAAATAGATTAACTTTAGAGAAAATAAAATAAGGATTAGAGAACCAGAATGTACATGTATGGTTATGTGTATGTACACCCAATTGTTTTTATAAAGCAAAAAAGATAGATAGTTTGTGGTAGTGCAAATATGCTCATTTTGTTTTACAGCAGAGTAAGTTGTTCATTGAGTTCATCAGAGAGACAGCCTAGCGGAAAGAAACTGTCTTGGTGGCAGTTGATTTTTACAATTGCTGCTCTGTAGCGCAAACCTGAAGGTAAAACTCTAAATAGTTTGCGTCCAGGATGTGTGATGTCTGTAGTAGAGCTGTGGGATATCACCAAATATTTTTGAAAGCAAAATGAAAACGTCTATGATTATTTTGTACCGTCAAAAAAAACAAACACTTCTTACTGAAGTTGGTGTTCATGTGCACATTCAGAAAGCATGTGCTGAAATAGCGCACATCAGTATGGCAAATGAAAGTGGGGTAAAAGTGGACATCTCTAAACAGGACCTGTCACATCAAAAGGTGGAGCTTGTTCCTAAAAGACGGGCTTCATCTCTAGCATGAACATGGTGTGGTTATAAAAAGTCTTACACAGAGGAGAAAGCTGTGCTCAGCAAGTTATGCCACAAACGGGTCCCAACTACAGATTCCAACACAATAAACCTCTTCTACCACCTAGACAAGAATCACGTGAAAGAGTACCCAGAGAACTTATGGATGAGAAGCAAAATAGAGCCATCAGGAGCTAAAATTAAACCACGTAGGCAAACACTGGAACAGACTTTCGCCCCTAGCAAAGATTCATGCAGATGGAAAGAGAAAACAGCAGCAACTGTAACGTATATATATATATATATACGTAATTATATATATATATATATATATATATATAATATAATATATATATATATATATATATATAATATATATATTATATTATATATATAATATATATATATACAGGGGTTGGACAATGAAATTGAAACACCTGGTTTTAGACCCACATAATTTATTAGTATGGTGTAGGGCCTCCTTTTGCACCCAATACAGCGTCAATTCGTCTTGGGAATGACATATACAAGTCCTGCACAGTGGTCAGAGGGATTTTAAGCCATTCTTCTTGCAGGATAGTGGCCAGGTCACTACGTGATACTGGTGGAGGAAAATGTTTCCTGACTCGCTCCTCCAAAACACCCCAAAGTGGCTCAATAATATTTAGATCTGGTGACTGTGCAGACCATGGGAGATGTTCAACTTCACTTTCATGTTCATCAAACCAATCTTTTACCAGTCTTGCTGTGTGTATTGGTGCATTTTCATCCTGATACACGGCACTGCCTTCAGGATACAATGTTTGAACCACTGGATGCACATGGTCTTCAAGATTGGTTCGGTAGTTCTTGGCAGTGACGCGCCCATCTAGCACAAGTATTGGGCCAAGGGAATGCCATGATATGGCAGCCCAAACCATCACTGATCCACCCCCATGCTTCACTCTGGGCATGCAACAGTCTGGGTGGTACGCTTCTTTGGGGCTTCTCCACACCTTAACTCTCCCGGATGTGGGGAAAACGGTAAAGGTGGACTCATCAGAGAACAATATATGTTTCACATTGTCCACAGCCCAAGATTTGCGCTCCTTGCACCATTGAAACTGACGTTTGGCATTGGCATGAGTGACCAAAGGTTTGGCTATAGCAGCCCGGCTGTGTATATTGACCCTGTGGAGCTCCCGACGGACAGTTCTGGTGGAAACAGGAGAGTTGAGGTGCACATTTAATTCTGCCGTGATTTGGGCAGCCGTGGTTTTATGTTTTTTGGATACAATCCGGGTCAGCACCCGAACATCCCTTTCAGACAGCTTCCTCTTGCGTCCACAGTTAATCCTGTTGGATGTGGTTCGTCCTTCTTGGTGGTATGCTGACATTACCCTGGATACCGTGGCTCTTGATACATCACAAAGACTTGCTGTCTTGGTCACAGATGCGCCAGCAAGACGTGCACCAAAAATTTGTCCTCTTTTGAACTCTGGTATGTCACCCATAATGTTGTGTACATTTCAATATTTTGAGCAAAACTGTGCTCTTACCCTGCTAATTGAACCTCCACACTCTGCTCTTACTGGTGCAATGTGCAATCAATGAAGACTGGCTAACAGGCTGGTCCAATTTAGCCATGAAACCTCCCACACTAAAATGACAGGTGTTTTTAGTATCATTGTCCAACCCCTGTATATATGTGGTGCCAGTTTACACAGTCAAAAAACAAGGGTTTTGTGCATCGGTCCAAACACTCTACTCCAGCTATGCAATGCCCTGCAGAAAACACTTCTCACAAGTTGAGCTGTCTCATTTATATTACAAGTATCGAGCCAAAGTAGAGGAGGAAATCCACCAAGTAGAACATTACACTACAACGAAAGATATGTGAACGAGCTGAATAACACATCACGCTATGTGTTTGACAGTGCACTTTATCTGAGACTGGAAACTCAACTGCAGCCGCTGTGTGCAGACCAGCTACTTTCCTAATGACCATACAGGATAAATGATTTCCAGAGGCCTCAGAGAAGCCCTTGAGTTGCTGAGAGGATCATCTAGTGTAAGGTTAATCTAGTGTGTTTTACTACAGACAGCTCTACAAAAAACCTTGTTGCTCTTTAGCTCCTCCTCCGCCACTAAGAAACCTTCTTTTCTACTTCATTACAAATTCAATCTCAATTATCTCAGATCTCAGCTATATTAAACATTTACCTTTCCTCCCAGTGTTGACCTAGACCGCTGCTGTTTTCCTGAAGGAAACATCTTGCTGTACACATTTACCAATAAACTTTTTAAACTACATGATTATTGACTGAACTAGAATCAAACTTTTAACAAACATGACACATCATCTACATTTACAGTCTTGGACCACTGCAGGTTTATTGGCAATTGCACTGAGAACATTCAGCAACAAATAGTGCAGGAACAGAGACAGAAAAGATGTAAAAATCACTAAAAATGGTTGGGCTATATTGATCCAGAGTGTGAATCCTTATGGACCCGATGCATGCTGTATAAAAAGAGCTGTTCAGCAAGGATTTTCTAGAATGCATCTTTGATTTTGTCATTCTGTCAAGGCTCCTGTGGCATTTAAAGATTTTCCATTTCGTTTCCTGGGAATTATGTCAAGTCTTACCTAAAGATCTTAGTGTTTTTCCTTCCTAACTGTCCACCACTTTTTTCTCTCTCTATCTGTTTTGTGTATAGTCCAGCCCTCTTGCTTTCACCTTGACTTACCATCTCTTGGTGTCTTGCCCAATTTGCTAAATTTTTTTGTTGTTGCATTCTCCCTATTTTGGTTGGACCCTTGTTACTATCTAGCTGCCCGAAACCAACTACAGTCTTTTGTTGGAATTTATTTCCCGAACCAGGGATTTCATTGAAAATAATTTCTTTTCACGTGATCAGTCAGTCTCTCTGTTATCAGCACAATACACTTTCAGAACAAGTCAGCAGAACAAACAAAAGATAAGGCATAGCAGGGAAACTGATCAGCAAAATCAAACAGTGACCCAGACAGACAAAACAATTAAACTCAGATATCAGAAGTTAATTTGAAAACTTCTTGCCTCTACACAAAAATAAATACACTAAAGGAAGAAATGACTTAAAAAACAAACACGTCATTATCATTCCTGAACAAACTTGTTTTAGGGCCATAAAACATGTAAATATTCAAAGTAACATGAATGAATAATCAGCATTTCCAAACAGAGAGCTGTTTTAAACAAC